TATGTATACATTTGTCTATATCTATCTCGATTCGTTTTGGCTGTTACAAACAACCGTTATGTGAACAAAATTAATATACCCTTGTGCACAAGTGCGCTCGGGTATAAAAATGATAGTCACATAAGTTATTTTGACAAAAATTCATAGATATGTGATAGCGTTTTCTTATACAAAGAAATCTTATAAAGGTGAAGTAATAAAACAGCTTTCTCGCTTTATTTTCTGACATTCGGCTGCCCTATAGTAAAATTTTATAGGCAAATCTTCAAATATGGCAGTGTGAAAATCTTTCTTCTCACTCTAATTACTTCACCTGGTGTAATTCCACGATGGGTACAAATATCGGTACAAGTAGGTATCGATACTTTTAGGCCGAGACTTAGTAGGTATCGACAATTTCTTTCGATGCTACTTCCAAGTATAGGTATCGATACTTTCATGGTATCGTTTTATCCCTAGACACTATTGAAGGAAATGAGCGATATGTATATAACTATACATTACGTTGTGTTCTTATTTTGGGTACAAGGATTGCCACACATAGGTAGGTATAAGTGTAAAACATAGAGGCTGCATTTCTTTATTCATTCTGAACGTTTGGAATAAACTTTTTTGTNTAAATGAGCGATATGTATATAACTATACATTACGTTGTGTTCTTATTTTGGGTACAAGGATTGCCACACATAGGTAGGTATAAGTGTAAAACATAAAGGCTGCATTTCTTTATTCATTCTGAACGTTTGGAATAAACTTTTTTGTTTACTTATTCTTTAGAACGTTCCTGATGATATGTCAACGTATATTTCAAACTCATTCTGTTTATTCCGGCTGTGAAATGGGATTATCCGGAATGTATAAAGAAACGCAGCCAAAATGAGCGTAAGCGCAATTACGTATCACATCGGTTGTAGGAAAGGTGACTCAAAATAAGCGCGCGGGGATGCGTTGGTGCAATCGCTATACCTAACATCTTTTCCGAAACAAATGGGCACAAAGTGCATAGGGTGTGGGCATCTCCGACAAAGAGTATCGAGGCGATACGAAGCGCAGCGGCAGGACGACTGGGTACGAGCAGTGTGTAAGGCGTTGGAGAGAGATAAGTACGAGGATTTCTTCATCAAACAGGATTGTGCTGTCGCTAATGGAAACCGATATAATCAAGATGACACATAAACAAAGGCATTTTTAGGTTAAGAAAACGCAGGAAGCAATAAAAAATCGTTTTATATTCCGAATATCAGTTCGAAGGTTGTTATAGCTCAGTNGGATTGCATAAGGATTCGGTAAAGGATTGACTAGTTGTGCTGTCGCTAATGGAAACCGATATAATCAAGATGACACATAAACAAAAGCATTTTTAGGTTAAGAAAACGCAGGAAGCAATAAAAAATCGTTTTATATTCCGAATATCAGTTCGAAGGTTGTTATAGCTCAGTAGCCACTTCAACCTAATTTATGAATACAATTGTACATATCGATGCACCTCTGCAATAACGACACAACTCAAAACTCAAAAAAATAAAAACCCTTACTACTCATTCCTATAATCCTTGTATAACTATAGTTGTGTTTTCGTATTCTCCAGCAAAAAATATCCAGTAACTTGCCAGTAACCAAATTTCGGAGAGTAAGCCAATATTTACTCCCAATGAGTGAAATATGCAAGAAAGTACGAAAACGCAAAACGAGCTAGAAGTTGCTAGTTTTATGAAAAGCTGATTAATTTGTTATTTTCCGATGCAATTTTCTTACAAAACTAGTATTTTCCATCTTATTATATATTTAAATAGGTTTATTTTGTCAATTGCAACTCTAAAAGCACCACAAACAATTATTTTGGTAATGTGAATTACATTAAGCATCATGCCATCAGCTGTTTTTCTTACTAGCACATAGTTGCTAGTAAAAATTGATCCAGTAAAAATCCAGTAAAACTTGCAAGTTCAGCTGTCATTTTTGCTCTCTCAATTTCCCCACTTTTGCTAGTTTCTTGCAAGTTTTTGCGTACGAAAACGACATCCAGTAAAAAACCAGTAAAATCAGTACTGGATTTACTGGATTGTGCGTACGCGAACAGGGCTTATGTAAGCAAGTAAGCAAGTAAGTAAAGTAAGTAGTAAGGATTACTAAAGTAAGTAGTAAGGATTAGACATGGATTAGAGAAAGTTTAAAGGGCCTTAATAATAGTATTGTTTCGTGAGTTTTAAGTTGTATCGTTATTGCAGAGGACCATTCGTAAAACTGTAGGTCCTTACATTTTTGCAACAACATCAAGAGGAAAACCACAAATTGGAGGAGAAACAACACTTAGCCAATAATTATTATTACATATCGTCGTTTAAAGTACAAAACCGCGTATAGTCATTCTGAAAAAACGGCGTAACTGACATTTGCTGCCAAAAATTGGATTTGCTCACACAAGCTCTTAGCTCAATCCTTATCCATTCGTCCAGAAATGCGATTGATTTATAAGAAAAGAGAACCATTTCGAAATATGAGTGTTTTACTCTCTAGAAAATAATTTATGCAACCTCACATACGCGCTTTTGCATTATCTTGATACGCGGTTTTGCATTTTTTTGATACGCGGTTTTGCATTTTTTTGATACGCGGTTTTGTATTTTAAACGACGGTATGTACATATGTATGTATGCAATATAAATAAAAGCTTCAATTAACTTACCATTAACAACGTTTCCTTCAAGCATAGAAAGCATCATCGTAATCATGTCCTTCTGCAAATTTAACAGTTCTTTCAGCAAGTCCACTTGACTAGAGTGCTTTGATAACTTTTCTTGCATGTGTGAAAAGAGAAAAAGAAAACCACCAACAGCGTCCCAAAGACGGGAGTGCGCTAAAGCTTGTTGATTTAATGTACACGGGCCTTGAATCACTTCCGTCAGCGTGTTGAATACTTGACTTGCTACCCCAATCGCTTTGAAAAAGTTTGCCTTTCCAGCAGGATCAATGATCTCTTTACTCGAATAGTGCCAGTAGAAATCCATTATTGATTCTTGTAGTCGTAGCAAGTAATCCACAGTACATATTACCACGTTCACTGTGGTAGTGTTACCTGCTTGTGTGCGTAGATAGTTCTGCCAGTCTGAAAATATTTGCGTTTTTTAATAAAATGACAACTTGCATTTATTCGATTTCCTTATACTAACCCAAGTTGTGGCCTTCGCATGTAAGTTGAATGAAGCGGAATAGAGCACACGTGAATTCAGCATCGTGCATGTTCTTTTCGCCTGCAGCGCCTTCCGAGCCCACGCCAAGACCTGCACCCGCACTTGGAATGTACTCTTTGTTGCAAAGTGTTTATTTGTATTTTTAGTTTGGGGATGGTGGGAGCATGCGTGAGATTTTTTGGTTTGGTCGCGGAATCAAAAATCAAGATAAGGGCGAAGGTGTAATTGGATAAATGTTCAAAAGAAACGTGTATGAGTTGTTTTCTAATTAAGGAGTACACATATCTATAACATATGAAGGGTGTCTAACAAAAGATGATATTTATTTCAATATTTAGTAATCTTTTAGTTTTTCTTTATTAAATTATATTTAAAAGGAGCTGCAGCTGGAATAAATGCAACCTGTTCCAAAACATTCTTAATATATTAAAAATATATATGTATGTATATAGATTCAAGCGTTGGTAAACAAAAAATGGGCATACATGCATAGTTTCAACATAATCGTGAAATCTTGAATAACTAAGCTCCTGTTTTTCCGATTTTTGATACCTACCAGTCCCTTACGGACCAAAAAATTTAATGTGTTTTAACTCTACAGAATCTTCTCTTTCATTTGCTACCTATACTGGTTTCTTAAGTATATAGCACTGACATTTTTAAATCACTTTTTGAATCACTCATATCTTCCAAATTTCAAAGTTCTTTTTAAAAATCCTGACGTCAGAAAGAAAAATTAAGAACGCAATTTTACTATATTTGGCCCTTGGGTTGACGAATATATTGATTTTTTTTTGTGTGCAAAATTGCCTGCCGCAAGGTATTATATGTATTTGAGCTACACATTTATACAAAATATTAAATAAACAAAAGAAATATAGCCAAAACTGGTCACATAAAGCGTTTCTATTATTGCCGCCAGTGTAAATTACAATTCCGATAATCCCGGGATTCTAGGCAAATAATCCCGGGATTTTCGAGACTTAAAAAAGACCGGGATCCCGGGATTAACATCCTAACCTAAGTATCATTATTTGTTTCAGTAAGATGCGAAAATATCTTTTTTGATTCGTGTGTTATTACAACTCGGTTTTATTCACTTCGATTAATATTCTATTCTTGATAGCCCGATTTATAGATAACCATTTTAATGAAGAACTGTTTTTCTTTATGCCTGAAAATCAAAAATCGGACAAACAGGAGCTTAGTTATTCAAGATTTCACGATGATGTTGAAATTATGCATCACAGGACCATCGATATTTATAAAATTGCTAAAAAACTTTACAAAGGTTTAGCCCAGTAAAGCTTGCCCAAAAATGGAAATAAGCTTAAAATAATTTGCATAAAGTTGAAAATTGGTACGTATGTTGCGAACACCATTATGAATGAAATGTTAAAAGTCCCCATCGATCCCACGTCTGCAAAAAAACGTTTTTCAAGGTCAANCTTTACAAAGGTTTAGCCCAGTAAAGCTTGCCCAAAAATGGAAATAAGCTTAAAATAATTTGCATAAAGTTGAAAATTGGTACGAATGTTGCGAACACCATTATGAATGAAATGTCAAAAGTCCCCATCGATCCCACGTCTGCAAAAAAACGTTTTTCAAGGTCAAAAGTCACATAAATTAATTTTTACAATTTTTCTGCAAAACGGTAAGGTTTATCATAAAAATAGGTGAGACGAAAGTGTAGATCATACAATTATCTATAAAAACTGTACAACATTTTTCTTCTTAAGGATTACCGTTTTTGAGATATAGCGATTCAAAATTGTAGTAAAAGGTGTGTACTCCATAATATGCAAATCATAAATTTGTATAGAAACTTGTTGTATGTAACTCTACTTAAGTGTTCATAACTTCTACGTTTATTATTAAATTTAGGCGAGCAGCGGCTTATTGTGTTAATGAAGGATCATGTTTTGATGTACAATAATCCAAATGTTAACAGGTTCTTTCATGTTGATATTTTTACCGAAAGTAAGTTTTTTTATAATTTTTTTTTTAATTATGAAAAATTGACGATTAATCAATGATTAGCTCCTAAACTACTAATCCGTTTGGAAAATATCGTGTTTTCAAAAGATAGTAAATTTACGTAATGTGCTTCACTACTGTAGAAAGAAATTTGAGATTCACCAGCTACATAAAATAAAATATGCAATTAAGTGAGTACATTTTTCACAACTGTAAAAACCGAAATTTGGATATATCTCAAAAACTATTGCAGTTTATTATATTTTGACTACATATTCAGATTCAGCGCAAAAATTTTACATGAGAAATAATGGTGTTGTGGCACAGGTGGAATTTCTTGTAAACTAGTGTAATTACACAGGTCCAAAAAAAAAAATCGATTAAAGGTTCCTTTGACCAAACCTAGTCTTTTATATGTTTTTGGAGTCGCTGAACACGAATCTGAAGTCCGTTTTGCTCCATCACGTCNTGGATATATCTCAAAAACTATTGCAGTTTATTATATTTTGACTACATATTCAGATTCAGCGCAAAAATTTTACATGAGAAATGATGGTGTTGTGGCACAGGTGGAATTTCTTGTAAACTAGTGTAATTACACAGGTTCAAAAAAAAAAATCGATTAAAGGTTCCTTTGACCAAACCTAGTCTTTTATATGTTTTTGGAGTCGCTGAACACGAATCTGAAGTCCGTTTTGCTCCATCACGTCTGGATTTTTTTCTAACCTCAAAAAACGTCTCGGATTTTACGTGACAGAGAAAATTAAAAGTAATTAGAAATTAAAAGTAATTAGATAAAACTATTCATCTTATTGATAGTGTAATTACACAGGTCCACAAAAAAAATCGACGAAAGGTTCCTTTGACCAAACCTAGTCTTTTATATGTTTTTGGGGTCGCTGAACACGAATCTGAAGTCCGTTTTGCTCCATCACGTCCAGATTTTTTCCTAACCTCAAAAAACACCTCGGATTTTCTCTGTCACGTAAAATCTGAGATGTTTTTTGAGGTTACGAAAAATCTGTAGACAAGATGCTCGCGGCTTTCCATTTGTCCTAGGTTGCACTGCATACATAAAGCATTTGGGTCTATCTTGTAAACCAGGGCTTTGTTACAAACCCTTATGTGGGACTTCGTGGACAGGCCAGTTTGACTTACTTATCCATCGCTGTAGGCTAAATAAGCTCCCACCAGATTACATTCAGATTACAGATATTTCCGCCTTTAATTATTATTTGCTTCTTCCGTACTTTCAACTCACTTCACAATTTAAATTCACACACATGCTGTGTAACCACTTTGCTAGAAAGCCCTCAAAACGTGAGGAGTTTTTCACTGCTCACAAAGAATTTAGTAGAGAAACTGGGCCACTTTGCTAAGATTTCTTGTTGCCTCAATGACATGTCGACAATGTTCCTTGTTTGCAAAAATGTTCCCTAATTTTTCATTTGCGAGCAGCGTAGTCTTAATATGGATATTTATGTGGCTATCATCTAATTGTACCTAAATTGAGCTCAGTATACCGAATGTACCTTTTGGTTCGAGAAAATCGGAAAAAGGTACAATTATACCTACTTTTTCATCCTTGATGCACAGTATGTTTATACAAACATATGTATGTACATATGTATACTAGGGGATCACCAAACGAATTGTTTCGTTTTGTGTTGTGAGCACTAACTTTATGTTTCGTTTGTTTCCCTATTTCTCTGCGTTCAGTTGGTTTGTTTGCGTTACCCCACGTCTCCATTTTCTACTAAATGTGTCTTAACATCTGTGAAATTTCTGTTTTAACTTTGTCCCGTTTTCTCATGTGGGCAACTTGCTGTCTTAACATATCACTTTCAAAGTGGCATCAAGCCAATCAGATTGATCTGTGCCCAATGTAAAAGGCGCGGCAAAATGAAAACTAAGTTGTCAAACTACGAAATGACAGCTGATGTTAAGACAACGATGGTAAGAAATTCGGTAAGACAGATATGGTTTAACAGTGGAAATTTGCGGTCTCCCCCTGACATTTCAGTCTTACCACAGCTTTTTTAACAGAATCTTTAGAAGGTGGAGACGTGGGGTCAGTGTTGCCACACATCGGCTTTCCTATCAAAACTGGTAGGTTTTTTTTCCATTTGGTAGGTTGGTAGGCTAGATTCGATTTTGGTAGGTTTCGCGACAATGAATAATAGTAATATGCGAAAAATACAAAATAAGTATCTCCAAACATTTTAGCAACCTTTTTTAAACGGATATTTCACCGGTGCGATCGTATAACGGCAACGGCAAGCATTTATATTTATATATCTGATTCGTAAGTATGTGTACTCTTATTATTGCAAATATATGTATAACATGAATATCTTTATATACTTTATGGCGTACTTAGATCAAGATTTCAGAAAAAGTCTGCCAATGGGCTCATACCCAGCCATATTCCAGGGGCAGGTCTTTGCAACCGAAGTCTGTGTTCGCGAATGTCTTCGTAGAAGGACAAATGGGGCCAGAATAAATATTGTATCTTAGACTCTTTTAAAACTGCTTCAAGGCTTGTGGACTCTTAAACCACCTGTGAGCCAGAAACAGCGTAATGTTGAGGTGGATTCCGGGACATGAAGGATTTCAAGCCAACGAAAGGTCTGACTGTCTCGCAAAGTGAGGAACCGAAATGCGCTTGCATGGTCCCGAGCCATTCTGCGGTACATCTAAAAAATACACTGCAGAAGTACTTAGGAGCTAAGAAGAATCTCAGATTGCTGCCCACTGGCGAAAGGAAAAGATAATAAGACAACCAAAGAGATTTATAACTCCTCTCAGGAGAAACTCCGAAAGACTTCTTGTACTTGGAACTCTTACTGGCTACTTGACAGCACACTGGAAGTTAAGGTAACATTTCAATCAAATGGGGCTTTCTGTAGAGACGGTCTGTAGGTTTTGTGGGCTGGTAGAAGAAACCCCAGAGTATATTCTATGTACCTGCAACCGAAACATGAATTGTAGACTGATATACTNGCACTGGAAGTTAAGGTAACATTTCAATCAAATGGGGCTTTCTGTAGAGACGGTCTGTAGGTTTTGTGGGCTGGTAGAAGAAACCCCAGGGTATATTCTATGTACCTGCAACCGAAACATGAATTGTAGACTGA